TACCTTCCCTACCCGTGACAACGTTCTGCTAAATCCTGATTTCGTCTTGTAACGCTGGACAGAATGTGGCCCAGGATCTATGTCCAGTGCACGTGTTAGCAGTTACAAGGCAGCAAAATGCTTGATCTGTCCCTGGGTGGGCTTGAACCACCAACCTTTCAGTTAACAGCCTAACGCGCTAACCGATTGCGCCACAGAGACTTAGGAAAAGTCACCTACAGTGGTAGAAACGCGGAACTTTGTCTCAAAAGGTCTGCTATATGAACCCTAATGATAGTTTGCTAAGAGAATGAGAGGTAACAGAAACACCCAATGTGGGGCTCTAACCCACGACGCTGAGATTAAGAGTCTCATGCTCTATCGACTGAGCTAGCCGGGCTGATGAGAAGCCCTTTTAGGAACCAGAAACCCTTTACAATAATACCTTCCTACCCGTGACAATCTTCTGCTAAATCCTGATTTCATCTTGTAACGCTGGACAGAATGTGGCCCAGGATATATGCCCAGTGCACGGTTTAGCAGTTGCAAGGCAGCAAAATGCCTAATTCGCCCCTGGGTGGGCTTTAACCACCAACCTTTCAGTTAACAGCCAAAAGCGCTAACCGATTGCACCACAGAGACTTAGTGAAAGGTCACCTACAGTGGTAGAAAGTCAGAACTTTGTCTCAAAAGGTCTGCTATATGAACCCTAATGTAAGTTTGCTGAGAGAGAAAGAGAAAAGTAACAGGAACGCCCAACGTGGGGCTCGAACCCACGACCCTGAGATTAAGAGTCTCATGCTCTACCGACTGAGCTAGCCGGGCTGATGAGAAGCTCTTTTAGGAACCAGAAACCCTTTACAGTAATACCTTCCCTACCCGTGACAATCTTCTGCTAAATCCTGATTTCATCTTGTAACGCTGGACAGAATGTGGCCCAGGATCTATGTCCAGTGCACATGTTAGCAGTTACAAGGCAGCAAAATGCCTAATTCGTCCCTGGGTAGGCTTATACCACCAAACTTCAGTTAACAGCCGAACGCGCTAACCGATTGCACCACAGAGACTTAGTGAAAGGTCACCTACAGTGGTAGAAACGCGGAACTTTGTCTCAAAGTCTGCTACATGAACCCTAATGTAGGTTTGCTGGGAGAGAGAGAGAAATGTAACAGGAATGCCCAACGTGGGGCTCGAACCCACGACCCTGACATTAAGAGTCTCATGCTCTACCGACTGAGCTAGCCGGGCTGATGAGATGCAATTTTAAGAGCTAAACACTCTTTACAGTAATACCTTCCCTACCCGTGACAACGTTCTGCTAAATCCTGATTTCGTCTTGTAACGCTGGACAGAATGTGGCCCAGGATCTATGTCCAGTGCACGTGTTAGCAGTTACAAGGCAGCAAAATGCTTGATCTGTCCCTGGGTGGGCTTGAACCACCAACCTTTCAGTTAACAGCCTAACACGCTAACCGATTGCGCCACAGAGACTTAGGAAAAGTCACCTACAGTGGTAGAAACGCGGAACTTTGTCTCAAAAGGTCTGCTATATGAACCCTAATGATAGTTTGCTAAGAGAATGAGAGGTAACAGAAACACCCAATGTGGGGCTCTAACCCACGACGCTGAGATTAAGAGTCTCATGCTCTATCGACTGAGCTAGTGGGGATGATGAGAAGCTCTTTTAGGAACCAGAAACCGTTTACAGTAATACCTTCCTACCCGTGACAATCTTCTGCTAAATCCTGATTTCATCTTGTAACGCTGGACAAAATGTGGACCAGGATCTATGTCCAGTGCACGTGTTAGCAGTTGCAAGGCAGCAAAATGCCTAATTCGTCCCTGGGTGGGCTTGAACCACCAACCTTTCAGTTAACAGCCGAACGCGCTAAACGATTGCACCACAGAGACTTAGTGAAAGGTCAACTACAGTGGTAGAAACGCGGAACTTTGTCTCAAAGTCTGCTACATGAACCTAATGTAAGTTTGCTGGGAGAGAGAGAGAAAAGTAACAGGAACGCCCAACGTGGGGCTCTAACCCACGACCCTGACATTATGAGTCTCATGCTCTACCGACTGAGCTAGCCAGGCTGATGAGATGGACGTTTAAGAGCTAAACACTGTTTACAGTATCACCTTCCCTACCCGTGACAATCTTCTGCTAAATCCTGATTTCATCTTGTAAAGCTGGACAGAAGTGGCCCAGGATCTATGTCCAGTGCACGTGCTAGCAGTTACAAGGCAGCAAAATGCTTAATCCGTCCCTGGGTGGGCTTAAACCACCAACCTTTCAGTTAACAGCCGAGCGCGCTAACTGATTGCGCCACAGAGACTTAGTGAAAGGTCACCTACAGTGGTAGAAACCCGGAACGTTGTCTCAAAAGGTCTGCTATATGAACCCTAATGATAGTTTGCTGAGAGTAAGAGAGGTAACAGAAACGCCCAATGTGGGGCTCTAACCCACGACGTTGAGATTAGGAGTCTCATGCTCTATCGACTGAGCTAGCGGGGATGATGAGAAGCTCTTTTAGGAACCAGAAATCGTTTACAGTAATACCTTCCCTACCCGTGAAAATCTTCTGCTAAATCCTGATTTCATCTTGTAATGCTGGACAGAATGTGGCCCAGGATCTATGTCCAGTGCACGTGTTAGCAGTTACAAGGCAGCAAAATGCTTGATCCGTCCCTGGGTGGGCTTGAACCACCAACCTTTCAGTTAACAGCCGAATGCACTAACCGATTGCGCCACAGAGACTTAGTGAAAGGTCACCTACAGTGGTAGAAACGCGGAACTTTGTCTCAAAAGGTCTGCTATACGAACGCTAATGTAAGTTTGCTGAGATAGAGAGAGAAAATAACAGAAACGCCCAACGTGGGGCTCGAACCCACGACCCTGACATTAAGAGTCTCATGCTCTACCGACTGAACTAGCCAGGCGGATGAGGAGTCCCCACTGGAACTAGACACTGTTAACAGTAATACCTTCCTTACCCATGACAATGTTCTACTAAATCCTGATTTCATCTTGTAACGCTGGACAAAATGTGGCCCAGGATCTATGCCCAGTGCACATGTTAGCAGTTGCAAGGCAGCAAAGTGTGTAATTCGTCAGTGGGTGGGCTCGAATCACCAACCTTTGGGTCATTATATCTTGTTTAATACCCATTTTATTCATTTATACTATTCATTTTATTTCTTTACTCATTTATATTAATATGCGAATATGTCTCAATAAATAATTAAAATTTTGTTAATTAGTTGAGTGCTATAGGTCTTACAAAAGCCTTTTATCTAAAAATAGCGTAAAAACTCTTAACTGTACATAAGCTCATTGATCTCTCCATTTTTCTTCTTAAAATAGGTCTCTAGTAATTCATCTTCATCGCTCAACTATTTTTTTTTTTTTTTTCAATTATTTCAATGCAGTCTTTTGGTATTGCTTTTTTCAACTCATGACATTGTCTTTGTAATTTTGCTTTAACAACTCTTTTATAACCATCCTCCACAATTACTTTTAATGGTACAAATCCTTTTATTACTTCATATAATACATCTTTAACTTGTCTTAATCCTCCGTCCCACCATTCCTTAAAATATAAAACATTTCCTTCACTTAAAATTGTTGAATTCAGTAAAAGTGGTTGTTCTAGAATCTGCGCCCTTGCTTTTGGTATAATCAACACATTTTCTAAAAATCCCCCTCATGATTCTAAGACCTCAACATAAAATTTTGGCAGACCTGCTATCATCAGTTTCTTCATCTTCATCAATAAAACATTACATCCCATATTAAAATGTCCACATTTCTTCAAATAATAATCCAACACACTTTTCCAAATCACACCCATTTTCCCTTCCAAAAATCTTTGAATAATCTTAATTGTTAATGTTTTCATTTTTAAAAAACTATCCAAAAGTCCCAGACCTCCTTCTTTTACCTCCCCAATCAAAGTATAATAAGCTATCTTGGCTCTTCCATTTCCCCACAAAAACTTTAAAACTACATCATTTATTTTTTCATAGTATACTTCAGGCAACGCAGTTACACTTAACACATACCAGACCTTTGACAACATTAAAGCATTTAAGATGAATACTTTCCTTTTAACGTCAAATTTCTAGTTTTCCAAAATCTCAGTCTTTTCTCAATTCCATTTAAAACTCTCTCCCAATTTAAAATATCTGCTTCATTAGAATCCATCCCTACCCAAATTCCCAACATTTTTGTATGTTCCTTTTCTTCTTTAAAGGGTATATGTTGTGTTATTTCTTTTACTCTTCCCACCCTCATGCATAAACTTTTTCCAACATTAACCTTAGCTCCTGATGCTTTACAATATCGCTCTAAAATCCCCAACGATGTAGTATCATCAGCGTATTGATACACAGCTTCTCTGTTGTCATTGTTTTCTGTTTGTATCCCTTTAATGCTTCTATCTGATTTTATTGCCAGTCCCAGTGGCTCAGCTTCCAGTGGGTATAATAAAGCAGACAATGGACATCCTTGCCTTATTGATCTAGTTGGTTGAAGACATTCTGTTAAAAAAATACATTTAATACAAGTTAAAATATCTGTATAAAAAAATTTGAATCCATTTTCTAACATTTTCCCCAAAACCAAACTCCTTAAGAACTGCAAATAAAAAATCATGCTCTACCCTGTCAAAAGCCTTCTCCAGATCTAAACCTATTAAAACACCCCCTTTCTCTTTTTCTTGCATATAGTAGACAATTTAGCTTACCCAATTCACCTGTACCGCATGTTTTTTCGATTGTGGGGAAAACCAGAGCACCCAGAGGAAACCCACGCGAACACTGGGAGAACATGCAAACTCCAAACAGAAATGCCAACTGACCAGCGCACAGTACTGTGTGTGTATGTATACATATATTGCATAAACTTTTCTAATATATTTGTTTTTGTTTTATTATTAATTTAATTTGTATTTATTTACTT